TCATTTTGGAATGACAAATTTCGAAAGGTTCCACTTAAAATTTGGAAGGAGGGGCAAAAATCTTTGGATTTTTTTTGGACAGTCATATTTTGGACATCTTATTCTGCCGTAAAGTAAATTGGTATGCATATCAACTTAGCTAATGCAGACACATCTTACCCAGAATCACCTACTGCCTTTCATTCATTCTGTGAGAAGTGACCGAGTTTACTGGCTGTAGGTAGTAGTTATTTTACATGAAGATTGGTAATTTTAGGACAAGCTGATTCCTTGGACACTTTTGGATGGAGTGCCAGATGCCCGAGTGAATAATGCCAAAGATGGACAGAGACGCGAATGCCGTGCAAGCTGGGTGAGTCTTTGAGGAGGTGTGTCAACGTCGACGCTTCGCGATTCATTCCACGCATTTCACTGTCATTGTCCACACACTAGTGATGCATCATACGTCAGTTGTGTTCTTAAGTCAATGCCAACCTTACAACGCATTTTACGTGCATCCACTTCTTAGCCGGGCATGACTTACCGGGGTGGGTTCGAACCGCTTTACAAGCTGGATATTTGTCGACTGGTATGGCCTGCGGCAGGTGACAGCAGGCGTTCAAGGTCAAATGACTTCGGAGGACAGCACGGGCCGGGCCGATCTTGGCAGCACGTTAAGCTTTCATCGCAAAATAATGTCGGTGAACCAGAATTCCGTAATGGCTCCGTAATAAGTGATGGGCCAGGCCCACACAGGCACGGTTTGTCGTGGGCGCGGATTCTAGGAATCCATCAGGTTAACAGGTTCGGAATAACTCCTGAAAAAAAAATCATAAAAAAGGTCGAATAAAACAGATGTGAGAACACGTAAGATCGACTGTCACGGAATGAGACGTGCCGGGTTGTGCGTGGGAGGGAGGGGAGGGGGGAGGCGTTAGAGGATGGGGTCGGACGACGCCCCGGCTCTGCGGTCGGTTCCGCCAGTGATGGGAGCTGCCCCGGCTCCGTGTTTGGTTCTGCTCGTGACGGGAGCCGCCGCCGGCTCCGCGGTCAGTTCTGCCAGTGACGGGAGCCGCCCCGGCTCCGTGGTCGGTTCTACCGTGATGGGAGCCGCGCCAATTTTCCGCAGCAGAGCGGGAGTGACCCAGTGCATCCATGTAACTGTTTTGTAATGCATCCCGGGACATCGCTGTTCAAAAAACGGATTCTAACTCTATGAGGAACCCTGGCACGACTTTGTCAGCTTGAGCTTGGAAAGCATATTTTGACGATGAGGAAAACCTGCACGTCGGTCATTCTGCAGCGGAAATCGCGTGACATTTCGATGTTTAAACGTAGTTAGCAAGGCATCTCTTGCGTAGAAAACTAAAGAACAGCCATAAAGCTCAGGTTGCGAATCACACATAATCGAGGGGGCTATGGACGTCGGTCTGTGGTATTGTGTAATAGGCGATATATCGGTGCACGGGCCGGAGTTCGGGGCAGGTGATGAAGTGTGCGATGGTGCGGTTAGTGCGACTGGAGTAACAACCGGAGGTGAAGCGTGTCTGAAAATCTAAGTGAGCGTCAGCCTGTGTCCAAATCGCAGCCTTCGAAGGGGAGCTTTTCGTGCGTTTGTTTTGATTTGCTGCGTGCTCATGTTGAAGCGGCGGTGTCATGGCCTCTGTGCGGTGTGGGACGCGTTGCGCTCATTCGCGTTGAACAAAGGACCTGTATGGTTTTGTATTAAATGTTAAAATATCGGGACGAAGCAAAACAAGTTCATGGCGAGCAGGTCAATTTTAGGATAGTATCTCACCTTTTTTACTTTTCACTTATTGCTACATCTGACGTGTGCGATTTGATCAGCAATACCTGTTTCTCGAAATTCTAAATGGCTCAGGGTTCTGATTTAAAGTATCGACCCTGCTGTTGAAGTCTCTGCGCACCACTATGAAAGAAGTACATTGCGTTTACCTTGCTTTTTCAACATGTGTATTTTGTAATATTTGAAACACACTTATGCGTCAAAATGCTTGCGCAGTGAATGCTGCAAAAACTTGAAGCACTTTAAAACAGTAAGATATGTGAGCATGAAGTCCTTATCCCGCAAATTCAACGAAAGGTTACACTATGGCCTGAATTGCTCCTCCATGACGCTCCCCATGTGGCTTTTTTTCAAGGCGCACTTTGGCTCTGGGAATGAGAGCATCACATGATTCATACAATGCACTGGTTCAGACTTCAACCAATGCGCTCTTCGGTAACAGGCTCGCGCCCGCTGAGCCAGTCCCAGACGTCCTTCTATTCTCACCAGCAGAGGTGTGCACGGTGGTTGTCATAATGGCGCTGATCGTGACTGCTAGGGAGATACGTAGTGACGTTACAAAACGTTGGCAGCGTGGTTTGAACTCGCAAGTCACTAAAGGTGATATTCTTTTTATGCCTTGGCGGTACTGTAGTGGCACTACCCAGCTAAATTATTAGACTAACTAGTCTTGGGGTTTGACCAGCGCGTTTTTTAAACATGCCCAAAAGGTAGGGCACTCGCTTTAAACGGTGGCAAGCAGCAAGCTTCAGAAGGAGGCCGTGTAATACCAGGGGGCAGAGAAGGGAGGGTATAGCGACTTTTGTGGACAGTGCGATGAAGACTGTTTCTGCCGGAAACAAAAGGATTGAATCGGTACAAACGACGGCATGACGACTGCGGTTACGCTTGATATGCCTTAGGCTTGATTGTATTGCGATTGGCTTGGTCGAGCATACACTGTGATACCGAACAGACGGATTGATTGCTGGAAGTTTTCGCAGATAAAGGCGAGTCCTGCGCGGAGGTATGTACATCGAGCAGTGTGAGATATTGCCATTGGCTACCGGTGGTTCATGTAAATGTACGAGTACATATGGCATATTTACACTTTTATTGAACAGCACAGCTTGCCCCCCCATTGATAGTTAATTTGGGAGGGGCAGTGTCAGCGGTCTGATTATAAGTGGGTGCAGAAGGTGCCGCGACGCGTAGTGCTGAAAAGGCCGGTTCAGACACATCGTAACATACGGCTCTCCGCTGTGGCCGACGCGCGGGGATAGAGATGCAACTTTTCCAAAATGTCAGCCCGCAGCCCGACGCACCACTGCCAGTTAGGGGTCCAGTCCGCAAAAGCCCGCTGTGCTACCCTGTTGACCCGGCATTAACCCATTAGGCACAACATTGTCTCACGCCACTAATGCTGCTTAGAAAGTAATCAAAAATACCAACGCTATGGGATTTCTATAGCACCGAATTACACCTCAAACACCGTGCTGCCAGTTCCCAGCTACAAATGAGGGGGAAGAGGATGTAATTCAAATTCACGCCTCACAAGAATGTAGCAGCAGAGCTATCGCATATTGTAGCCCATTCCTTTTGTCCTGAACCGCCCGTGCCACTTCATGAGAAACCCGCCAACGTTTGCAGACCGACCTAGCATACGAGGCAGTTGGTGCGATAAGTTCCCCTCCACCCCACTGAAAGTATACAATGCGACGCCACCGGTTGCGGGCCAGTGCAGCGGTAACGCTCTTATTAGAGTTTCATTACACGCTGCCCTCCTCAACGTCCTGTGCGCACGACATAATTTAACAGCACGTAAATCACGGCTGGCTCATCGACTTCATCCGACACTTTCTAACGGAATGTACATTCTCTGTGCACTGTGGAAATACCTATACTGCTCCCACTGCGCCGGACCGTACTCCCCTAGGGAGTATTTTATCATTAAACCCTCTTCTTCTGATCACAAACAATAGTTTGTCATATTGAACACATTTATCACGTTTTCAATATTCTGGATGCCGACGACCTGGCCAGGGGCGCAGCCAAGGGAACGGCCTGGGGCCCATCCATAGGTCCATTTTTTCAGTTTTCACCTCTCAGACAAATTGATAAACCATTTCACTGTAAAGCGAGCAGCATAGGCACAGCATCAGTCTAAAGGCTTTTTAAAAATTAGCGCGTAGTCCGCTATTGCAATGTCGAAGCAACAATCACAATACTGTTAATTCTAGTTCGCCAGTTCTCGGCCAGGAACCAATGGATATCGCATGGTACAGACATCCCACAAGCGATGACTGAATTGAGCTGAATCAAACCCACTGGAAGCTATGAACCATGAGCCGAGTCCGATGCCAAAATCTGTGAGCCGGCCCCGAGCCCATTAAAAAATCAGGTCGAACTCAAGCCTGGCACTCACCGAGCCCCGGACTCCACCTTTAAGGCCAGCCTGGCCCCGCCCCGGACCCGGCGGGGTGGCGCACGGTGGACGTTGTAGAGCAAGCCTTTCATAAGTCCAGCCCCAAATGATATTCACACGTGGTGCCAGCGCGACCACGCGGACCCCAAACGCAGACCTACCCAGCCAAGTCGGCTGCAGAGCGGTGGGGCGCAGGTAGGCGCACTCCCCTTCACTTCTGTAGTCGCTGGCGCGCCATCTTGGGCTACAATAGCTTTCTTTTTTAAGGCTTACTCCCAAAAATTTAAACCCTTTACGCCATCCAGCGTTCCGCCATCCGCATAGTGACTGGGAGCCTTCTCATCTCCTCATGCACGAACATGCTAGCAGACACTTCCAGCTTCCACAACTTCCACTTCCTTCCTCTTCCTTTCACAACGGCGAACAAGCAGCGCCCTAAGCTCTACGCACGCGTCGCGGCGCGCGTTGACAATGCCACATGCATTAGCCTCGCACATCACCACCCCAACGGCACCCACAAACGTGGAACTAAGTATCCAAACATCGGTGTTATTCGAGCGCAACGGGCGCTTGATCTCCCGTGCATTCCCTGCGGCACAATTCCCGTCCCGCGTCCTCTTGACGCGACCCTATACCGAACATAATTTTCCGTGTAATACGTACACACTAGCGGCTCCCAACTCGGTAACCGCAGAGGCCGCCCTCGTGCACCATTACCGTAAATCAGACCGCCTTTCAGGTCACAACAAACTTCATACAGCTGGACTAACAGCAATATTGATATCCCTGCTCCACATAAAACAGACTACATTCAACGTCCAGTTATATGTACGGAATTTCATCCTCGCTACAAGCTCTCACCACTACACAGTCCATTTCATCCAATTATGTACGATGTACGTAGAACGTGCCGGTACTTTCCTCAACAGATTTATGCAATATTATTCCGGAAACCTGGATACACCAGTATACATGGAAACGACACTGCCGACGAGAAAGCGACACAAAGTCTCACGTTACCAGAAAACAGTCAGCATCTCTTCATACTTTCATTCCTATCTCCCGCGTGACTGGGGCCCACGCACCCATCAGCACCTCCAGCTGATCGAACCTACGCTACAGCACGTGCACAACCCACCAAGGTAACCGCCTCAAAGAAGTACTGCCGGTCTGACCACGCATATGTCACACCAAGAGCACCCGTCGCCACCTCTTCGAACGCGCTCCTCCGTCGCCGCCGCTGCGACATCCCGTTCACAATTAGTCCATTCCTGCTTGCGTGTCCTGTATATCGACGACCACGACAGTCGCTTGTTTATTACACCGACGCCAATCGTCTTCCGCTATATGTCCATTTTCTCGTCGGAGGTCCTCACCCTGACTGACTCGTTCCCTTCACATCTTTACATTATTCGGGATTGAATGATTCATTAAAAACAAAGGGTCTTTCCACATAAGCTGGCGAATTCAGGTTTTCCCCACTGGACAGAGGTCCCGGTTTTTCTTGTAGGATCTCCCTGCCTAAACAACACCACACAACCACAACAGAAGGGCGTACCCAGCAGCGGAGCCTGGGGGAGGGGCATCGTCTCCGATGACGCGATGAAGCGGCCCGGCATCGATCCCTCGCTTCGGTCGCCATGTCAGCTGAACCAAGGCCACCACTGTCACGGACACCACGCGCAGGACTCGGTGCACCCGGTCGATCTGGCGAGAGCGTGCGCGAGTTGGCTCGGTCGTCATCCAAGTGTATGCAATGTGCGCTGCATCGCGGTGAAATAACTATGCTGTTGCGGCCGTTTTCCGTTACTTGCACTGGATTTTTCTCGACAAAAATTGGCCAGATTGATGTAACCGCTTCCCTGGCTTGCGGCGAACAACATATGCCAGTTTAACGCCATCCTTTGTCTGGCATTTCCGCAGGACGCAATCATCACTTCCCCTCAGATGTCACTCTAGGTCCGTTGAGGCAAAAAAGAAGGTCGCCATGCGCCGGCGCATGTGGGCATGCCGCCTCGGGAAGTGTCACGACGCATTCCGATTTTCAGTGGCAGGCGCCAACACCGCCTAGAATGAGACGTGCGTCCCGCGAAAGCCGGCGAATGCCGCCGCGGCGCCCAGGCCTCGGCCGACACCAGCCTCGTCGCCAGCGTGCCCTCACAGCGTGGCGCGGCAGCGCTGGCGGCAGAGACGCACCGCCGACGGCAGGGGCACCGGCCGCAGGCCCCACGCGTGTGCGGACGGAGTAGTGCAGAGGTCCTGACGCTCACGGGAGGTGATCAACGACACACGCACGCACACCCTCCCACCGAACACCGCGAAACGTCGCCACGGGTGACAAACATTCCCCACCTCCACCACCGCCGAGAGTAGATCGACGCTGCCGCCATGTGCGGTCAGTGTGTCGACGCCGGGCGGCAAACATCCCCCACCTCCACCACCGCCGAGAGTAGATCGACGCTGCCGCCATGTGCGGTCAGTGCGTCGACGCCGGGCGGCAGACATCCCCCACCTCCACCACCGCCGAGAGTAGATCGACGCTGCCGCCATGTGCGGTCAGTGCGTCGACGCCGGGCGGCAGACATCCCCCACCTCCACCACCGCCGAGAGCAGATCGACGCTGCCGCCATGTGCGGTCAGTGCGTCGACGCCGGGCGTCCCCGAAGCGAGAGAGAGCCGCTGCGCGTGAGCCCCACGCAAGGCGCGGAGCCGCACCACTATCCCTACCGGCGAAGCACGGCGCCGCCCGCGAGCACGCGATCTGGACCAACGCCGAGATCCCAACTTATCCGGAACACGTGTCGAACGTCAGCACGCCCGGAACCCATGGGCCAACGAGGTCTGGCTGCCGCACCGCGCCGTGGTGCCTTCACATACAGCTCATCAACACAGGCCACTCCACGCTGCGAGCTGTCCACCACGCGCTGCTGTAAAACGGACGACCCACGCAGCGCGCGTCCAGCGCATCTCGGCGACTCCAGAAGCCGAACAAAGCGAAGCGGGAGGACGGGGAGGCGCGTGGCGTAGAGACATGAACCACAGCGCGGCCAGTCGGGCCGGCCGCTGGCGGCGGACAGGTGGCAGCGTCGGGCGCCGACGGCAGCCGAGCGACAGCCGCCGGCGGGAGGACGAGCACGGCTGCCGCGGCCGGGTCGAGCTCACGGACGGCAGCGGGGCCGGGCTCATCCCTCCTTACACCTATGGCCGAGACGGGACATCGTCCGAACACTGCCCAGCCACCCTGCAGCCCCATCGCTGCTGGCTCGCCGGCTCACCTGGGCCCAAGTGCACTCACAGGTCACGCAAAGTAACATCGCACCGGTGACTGCACGTCATTTTCACGGGGCTATCGTGTGTCACCTGCCTTTGAGGCCCCACCGCAGGCTGCTCGAGCCACAGCTGGCTTCAGTGGCGGTAGCACGCCTCTCCACCGCACCACGCCTCATTGCCACCGAACACAAACACTCGCCGCCGACCGGTCGATCCGTCGCGCCAGACGCGCTAGGAAGTGGCACACTCGGCTCGCGGTCACCTTGGGCACGGCCTGTCACCCGACACTCACGCTATAGCCCCGCCAACTGAGCTGTCACTGGGAAGCGGTGGCCAATCATTGCCCACTCGTCCAGCAGAAGACGGCAGACTCTGCGGAAATGTGACTGGCAGCAGCCGCCCGGCTGAACCCGTCGCGAGCGGCCTAGCCCGAGCGTGCACCCACGCGCGCCGAGGACAGCCGCAGAAATCCCAGCGCCGCGGTCGCACGGATCACGAGGTGGCCCGGCGATGGGGCACCACGAGTCGCGGGGGGGGGGGGGCGCCACGTGGTCTACAGCAGCCGGTGCAGGCAGCCGGCGGGCAGGTCATGTGGTCTGCAGCAGCTGGTGCAGGCAACCAGCGGGCAGGTCATGTGGTCTGCAGCAGCTGGCGCAGGCAACCAGCAGGCAGGTCATGTGGTTTGCAGCAGCTGGTGCCGACAGTTGTCGGGCAGCCGCCGCGGCCTGCCGGCGCCGGAGTCGGCCGGCAGCTCAGGTGGACTGCAGCACCGGGTGGCAGGCCGGCAGGTCGGGCGGCGGGATCGGAGAGTCCTCGTCGAAGATGATCGCCAGCCGGTCGTACTCGCACAGACGGCGCGACAGCTTCAGCTGCCGGCGGCGGCGCGGTCAGGGACACGGTCCGTCCAGTGGGCTGGCCTTCTGGCGTGTGCGAGCACGTCAGGGTGGAGCCATGCCATTGTTGCGCGCAGCCCACTCGCACAGTGGCATGCCCTTTAAACACGAAGCGGTACAAACGTTTGGAATAAACACGGCCGAAGTAACCCCCGTCGAGGTCACCCCAGAAAATGATCCACCGGCATTCTAGAGGGGGGGGGGGGGGGGGGAGGGTTGAAATAAAGCTCTGTTGACCAATAGTGGTTATTTTAGAGCGATTAAGGGGTTAGTAGCGGGGCCATACTGTGACCATCCCGACAGACCTCCGTTCCAGCTTTCCCCCGCACAGGCCCCTCTCTGGGGCCGATGAGGGAACTCGGGCGGTGCCAGGCTGTACATCTGGTTCGCACCTGATGGCACCAGTGCGCGCTGGTGGGCCGGCTCTTTGCGAAGATTTAGGACGAAGCATCGAGCAGCAAAAGCAGCATCGAGCGAAAAGACTGCGCACTTCGCTATTTTTACCACTTGACGTTATTAAGGTATTTTACATTTTAGCTACAATGCAAAAACATATACCAAAAACTCAGAGACCGTCGCCACATCGCAATCACTCGAGCACGCGGAAGACAGACAAAACAGCATGTTCTGACGACATAGCGTAACAGCACAACGCCATCTCTCGGCGGCGCCGAACACGACACAACACCATCTATCGGCGGCGCGGCCTGAGAGCGCAGCAGAGTTCCGACGAGGCACGAGGACTTACCCTCTTGCTAAGAACCGTGGCCGAATCGTCAGAGGAGCCGCTCGTGCCCTCCCGCTCGCCTAGGTTGATGACGGGCGGAGCGCCCGCTGTCTCTAGGTCCTGGTACAGCTGGCTGAGCTGCTCTGACAGCGTCTGGAGCAGCAGCCCACCCCCGGTCACACACGGCAGTGTCTAGGGCAGCAGCCCATCTCCGGTCACACACGGCAGTGTCTAGGGCAGCAGCCCACCCCCGGTCACACACGGCAGTGTCTAGGGCAGCAGCCCACCCCCGGTCACACACGGCAGTGTCTAGGGCAGCAGCCCACCCCCGGTCACACACGGCAGTGTCTAGGGCAGCAGCCCACCCCCGGTCACACACGGCAGTGTCTAGGGCAGCTGCCCACCCCCGGTCACACACGGCAGTGTCTACACGCGTGCAGGCAGCCCACCCCCGGTCACACACGGCAGTGTCTAGGGCAGCAGCCCACCCCCGGTCACACACGGCAGTGTCTAGGGCAGCAGCCCACCCCCGGTCACACACGGCAGTGTCTAGGGCAGCAGCCCACCCCCGGTCACACACGGCAGTGTCTAGGGCAGCTGCCCACCCCCGGTCACACACGGCAGTGTCTAGGGCAGCTGCCCACCCCCGGTCACACACGGCAGTGTCTAGGGCAGCTGCCCACCCCCGGTCACACACGACAGCGTCTGAGACAGGAGTCTAACCCCGGTCACAAGTGGTTGTGGGTCAGCTTAAGTGGCAGGCCCCCTCTCCAACCCCGGCGGAAGCGCCACCAGAACGCCCCCACAAAGCCCCAGGAGGGATGCCTGCGCAAAGTATGGCCCGGTAGCGGAGGACTCCAAGATACATAGTCAGTACGCACGCTGATGGATGGTGTCTCTCTCACCACGTTTCACTTTCTTCAACCCATAGCTCTGCAAGGGCCATAGGTGCCCGAGAGGAATTTAAACAAAATCAAACCAAACCCACGGGCCAAGACGGGCTTCAACAAATCTTGAATAACGCTGTTCTTTACACAGACCACTTCGTCAAACACCGTCCATGCGTAATGGCGTTTATCAGGTTCACCAGCCAGTCGAATACTCAACTTCTGCGGTCTTAAAACGCGAAAATTTACACGCATACATGGCTCGGCAAGATACGTCAAAGATACAAATCACGAGCTGAGTGGTGCCCCCCCCCCCCCCCCCCGGCCAGCCGGTGCCCACCACCCGGGTGCCGGGTGAGCCGAGCGGGGTGGTGAGCCGGCGCCACCGGCGGCGCTATCTCACCGCCGGTTGCGGCATATGCTGCAGTGCCTGCCGGTCACGCTCCAGCACTTCCTCCAGGTTGCGCGGCTCCATCTGGTACCGGTTGATGAGCTCGCAGGTCATCTCCACGCCCTCCAGCCAGGGCGGATCCTGCGGAGAGCGCCCCCATGCGGCCGTCAGCGCGCGCCCACACGACCGCCAGCGTCCGGCGACGGCCGATGTGGAGCTGCCGCCACTGTTGTCCACCGCGGCCGGCAACAGCCGGCACACTTGTCATCTGGGGTACTCGTCGGCAGGTCAATCGGTCCACATTCTCCGTATGTGGCCAGCTACACTTCCACATCCCCACAAAAGACGAAGCACTGCTTAGAAAAGAATCCAACGAAGCTGTCGAAAAGTGGGCTCCAGAACAATTCTCTCGCATCTGCCATACGTTTGAAAACTTTGTTGCACACACGGCGCACCAGGTAATTTCCTGTTAAGATGCACCAAGTTTTGACATGGGACCTCTGGGATCCGACAAAGCTTGGTTAGAGCACGCCTCAAGACATTGGAGACACAGAAACCTCGGAAACCTCGGAAGTATTTAACAGAATAGACAGAGCCAGCAATGGCGTACCGTGCAAAACACGCTCACTAGGGAAATGGCGCCGACACGAACGTTCGTAGCGGCCGACCGGGCGAACAGCCGGACAGCATGACCCCGAGCGGCACCAGACACGGACGAGCGGACAGCCGGACAGCATGACCCCGAGCGGCACCAGACACGGACGGCGGTCTGCCGGACGCTCACTCACCCTGAGCCGGCGTCTCTGGTGGCTGGCCGGGCCGGCTGTCGGCGTCGCCGCGTCCCGTCCCGCGCCAGCTACCTGTCGGCGCGCCGCGCGCGAGGTCAGCTGAGTCCACCCGCCGCCACGCGCCAGCGGCAGCGGCACCGCCAGCGCGCCGACGCACGCCGCCGGCGCGTCTCTCCACACCTCGCACGGCGCGTTCGAGAAGGTCACAGCGCACGACGCGCAGCGTGGGGCCGATCCCGATACCGCACGGCGCACGCACCGACCACTGCGGACAGGCGAGCTGACGAGCGTGGCGCCTGTTCGACCGAGCGTGTACGTGTGGCGCGGGGGTGGGGAGGAGCAGGAGCCCACATGGCCGACCGCAGACGGCCGACGGGGGACGGCTGTCCGTGACAGCCCGCTTACCGGCAGCCGGCGCCGCCCAGCACGTCGTCAGGGGAGTGGGGAGGAGCGGGAGCCCACGCGGCCGGCGGGGTCCCTGACAGCCCGCTTACCCGGCAGCCGACGCCGCCCAACACGGCGTCAGGGGAGTGGGGAGGAGCGGGAGCCCACGCGGCCGGCGGGGGACGGCTGTCCCTGACAGCCCGCTTACCCGGCAGCCGGCGCCGCCCAGCATGTCGTCACTCGCGATCGCGTCATTTGCCAGCGACGAGATGCTGCAAACGGACCGAGGTCAGAGCGGCGGGGCACTCGGCGACCACTGCACACCACACCAGCTGTCAGGCTGGACCCTGCTCTGAAGAATGCAATGGATGGAGGCAATACGCCCTGCGCAGCGCCAGAGCGTCGACTGATGCCGACAACGCGAACACGCCTACTATCTACACCCAGGTGACCATCTGCCCACCGTCGCTAGTAATGGGCGCCATCCATTGGTGTTTCCCACCACGCTATTGCACGTACTCACACAAATTTGACTACGCAAAGTCGCCATTCCATGAGCCCAGCGAGGGTAGCCATTCTTGCACGCCCACGAGGTGCCAGTGGAAGACAGTGCACTATGGGCCGGCGTTATAATGAGTATGAATG